CGAGTTTACCTCTGGATTGATGTCATTGAGATCACCTTTGAGGGCAGAAGTTTGGATCTTAGTTGATGTCTGATCCTTAGTTGCTCCAACAAAACGAATAGAAGAAGAGAAGAAGACAGGAGAAGAAGGCAGGTAGCCCTAGGCGACCCAAGAAGGGGTGTGAAAAGTAGCGTACAGCGCACGTGTACAGCGTATGGCTCACCTAGTGCTTGCTTCTTTAGGGAATTTTCGTTTTTGGAGTGCTTGGGGTTGGAGCTGAGTGGAGGTCTGTGCCCTTTTTGTGTTTGACCTTTGACCACCTTAGCAGGAGGATGTTTGAAGTGGCAACTTGTGGCTAGGAACTGCTTAGAGAACCTTTTGGTAGAGCACGATGTCTTTCGAGACTGTTTGATGTAGTTTCCTTGCAGTTTGTGTAGTTTGGAGATGACTAGGTACAGTCATGTACTCTTTCAAGAAGAGTGGATGTGCTTCTAAGAAGCTAAGAGGACATTTGAAGACAGTCTATAAATGACTGTAACTTTGGCTCAAGGAGCGGGACCGAAAAGGGCGCGTTGCTACTGTGTTTTCACAGATCTGGGCTCAAGCCGCTGCAGCAGACTGGGCAGCAGTTACGGGCGTCTTGCTGCGCCTGCATATCTCCCCTTGCGCAATAGCTCTCGCAACCTCACACTGGGGGGTTTGGACCTCAGTCCTGATCCTATTGCTTGCAAGAGGCATTGCCTGCAGAACGCACCCTTGCAGTGGCACTCGTGCCTGGGGGACTTAACTTTACCCCCTATTCGCGCCTGATCAGCCGGCCAGCAGATTACGAGATACACTATGTCCAGCTCAACGTCATAATCGCGCAAACGCTGCTTCCATTGAGACTGGCTGCTGCTGCCTTTCTGCGCGCCCCATGGGATGATGGCACATGCCCTCGTATAGCCGAGATGGTGGTAGAAGCCATCCCGATTGAGATCCAAGGTCCTCCCTGGCACTCACCAGTGGACAAGTACTTTATCCATTTGAGGACTCTCCACACATCACGCATGATGGAATCATCCTGCACGGGCGAAGTGCCCAACAACGAGCAATGGTGCACCGTATCCTTCACCAAACGGGTGTCTCCCCTCTCCCATATCGGAGTAGGACAAGCCCGGCCTCCTGAACCTGGGGAAGCATTTGCTGCCTTCCCTTCTCACAATTACACACGCCGGCAGTCTCCATAACTACGGAAAACCCGGTGTCAACGATCCCACCATGGCTTTTGCCGCAACCTGTTCCTGCCCCCTCCCTCTCGCAGCCAGCAGGAAGAGGTGGAGTCAAAGGCTCACGTGTCTCTAGTCAACTGGGGGTATATGCCTTGCAAGCGCTCACTGAGCAAGATCTGGCTTCTGGGAACGACGCGCCAAATGCACGTCTTGGATTCGACTTTTCCGTTGCCTTTGTTTTTCAATTTTGCAGTTGCAGGCCATGCCACTGTTGCGCTGCACTTGATTTCGGTTCATCCACGCAGCCTCATTCGGCTCTGCCATTGTTCCACTGCCGCAGTCATCCAAAGTTCCCTAAAATTTGGCTCGCCATTGCCCGCCCGCACTGCATCACGGTTTGACCGCGTTTTTTGTCGGCTCGTCCATGCGACTGTGCTGTTTCGGTTACATCTTGGCCACGTCAGTCAGTGTTTTGTGGCCTGCAACTGGCAGCGTTGACCAGCGTTTGGCCCGTTACAGTTTGGCTCGCCATTTCTCGGCAGTGAAATTGTTGGGAGCAGCTACAGCCATGCGGTTTCATGAGGTGGACGTAGGCTCTTTGAGCAGCCTACACCCTGCCCCAAATTGACCGATGTTTTTGGGTTGCAAAATGTTGTTTGCGACGGCACTATATGTCCTGGTGGGACTCTCAATCGCAGAAACGCTGCCCCGCGCACGGCCCGTCCCTAAATTGTTGAGCATGCGTAGCCAAACAACCCAAATATAGAAAATTGTTGGTGCATCTCTGCATTCCATTGGCTCTGCTCTTGCCTTGCGGGCTGGAAACAGAGTCTGTGGTTCCAAGAAGTTTTATGTGCCTTGGTTTGATGTTGACCCTTTTTGCCATGGCGGTTTTTATCCCCTTGGGTACCGACGGCAGGGGTTGATCTACAGCTACAGGATTTTACGTATTAAAGTCCTATGGGTCCAAGGTTGTTTTTTAGTTTGTCACCGGTGCTGAAGGGTTTTTTCGCGGCAGTGGTTTTCAGAAAATTCCTGTGCCCTAAGACCCTCCAGTGGGGGTCAGTAAACAGGAAAAAGACAACAAACCCCTGCCCGCCGACAATGTCTAGAAAATCCTGTGTCCCAACCCTGCAGGGAAAGGAAGCAAGAGTAAAATCCTAGGTTTTAAGGGTTTTCCGACGCGGAAGGGTTCAGGGCGACAGGCGGCGAGGACAACAGGACGATGCGAGCTGAGTGACTGAATGGTAAGGCCAGGAGCCCCTAGTAGCGTCCCTATACTCCCAGTAGCAGGGCGAGGAGCCCCTAGTAGCGTCCTTGCTCCTAGTAGTAAGGCCAGGAGCCCCTAGTAGCGTCCTTAAGCTCCTAGTAGCAAGGCCAGGAGCCCCTAGTAGCGTCCCTAGCCCCAAGTAGTGAGGCCAGGAGCCCCTAGTAGCGTACTTGCTCCCAGTAGCAAGGCCAGGAGAGCACTTGCCTTTGGTTGTGATGAGCCAATGTGAGTCTTCGTTTTCTATGTTTGCAGTTGCTTCGCCGCTCGGAGCCCGTTGATTGGAGAATGAGACAGGCACGTACGTAGGAAACACTTACCTATTCCCTGCAGACCGTCCGCAAGCTGCCACCGGGAACTCGTTGCTCAAAAGCCACGGCTTCGCGAAGTTCCATTTGCCCGTGCTTTGCTGAGAAGTGTTGACCACCCATGTGGGTGACGACGGCACAGATGACGACTGCCAGACAGGGAGAACAATGAAACGCCGCAACCCCAAACCGAGTGAAAACTGCGTCCAGTGCTGCAGCATGCGCAATGTTGAAAACCGTGAAGGAATGCTTTCATGAACGGCGGCCTGCTCCCCCTGGACCTTTCAAGACGCCCGTCGGTTTCCAACAAGCGCCATGGAATTAAAATTCCTTCCTGCATGACACGTCTTAGCCTTCAAAATTTTGCGCCGCCCGTGGGAGCTGCTTAACCCTTTTCCATCAAATATTGCCCCTTCACCAAAACCCCGCCCCCTCGCGTTTTGGTTGGGTGATGGGCTTTGAACAATGATGGTGCCGGAAAATTCTTCCTCAAATGTGGCCGGAAAACAACACGAAAAATAGAAGACCTACTTTGCAAAGAAGCACACGGAACATTTCGAACGGGAAAAGGACAAAACCAAATTGGTGAAATAGATGCTTTCCAGGGGCGAGCGGATATTCCATGTCATGACCACATACACATACAACAACCACACCCAGCGACCCTGCAAAATCATCAGCTCACAGTTTCTGAAGTAGCCATATCATTCAAGCCACCCCGCACCGGAGGAGGTGTTTTCCAAGTTGACGGACATGCTCTCAGGGCAGGGTTTTCGCACCTCACTGGTTCAACAAACTCGACGCTCCATTTTGGTCGCTGCGCATAACTGGGGCGCCGAGGAAGGCAACCTCCGTCCCAGGCTTGCGCGGCAGAGACCGACATGCCAAGGTGATTTTCAATTGCTACAGTCCAATTGTTTGGACCTGCACACCTCCAATGGCCGTCTGGTTTTCTGCGCACCGCTACTGTTAAGTGAAACTGCCAGGCAGGCGCTGGTGTGGCATGGTAGTGCGGTTGAAGACTTGCTTGGGGAATGCGACCGGGGTGGTGGCATGGCCAGGTCCAACTCAGCCGCTGCTGCCCAGGATGAAACGTCCTGCTCAGCGCGGGCTAGTTCAACATCGTCCAGCAAACATTGTGCATTGTGCATGTGTTTGAGAACACTTCTACGCACCGTCAATGTTTGCATCACGGCCGCGCAGTTCATGCGCCAGAGTTCTGCTTGCATGGCAGGCCGGAGGGTAGAGCCTAGCCGCCAGGAATCCTACCCACTGCCCCACCGAAGTCTGACAAGTGCCAGGGCCCCTGAGCAAGCAAGGCGTGACGCCAACCTTTGGGCTGACAGTTTGGATGAGCGCTTCTACCCACCCATGCATGATAAGCCCCTGCGGATCATCGGAAACATCAAAGTTGGAGACTGGCCAGTACAAAACAGTTGGAGACTGGCCAGTATAAAACCGTCAGCAGCATGCACATGCCCAGTATATAAACAGGTTTCTCAAGGGCCTTCTGCGGCAAAAAGGCGTATGAAAAAAAAAATAAATATTTGTCGTTTCCCACGCACGACGGTACGTTCGTGAAGTCTGTTGTTGGCAGATCAACCCACGACCTTGCCAGAACCATGTAGGGACAGAGGTTTTTGGGGTTGACAGAATCAGAAGAGCTTGCGTGCCAGTGTCAATTAGCCATTGTTTTGCCAGAGTCACAACATTGTGTGACCCGAACTCTAGCCACTAATTCATTTGCAGGCCATCGTGGCTCGCTTTCCGTCGCCGAGCCACCAAGGCCTGCCTCCCAACAGCACCCGTGGAGCACCGGTTTTCCTCTCCCCCTCCCGACGTTCCCACTCCTGACATCCCGGGCGCTCATTCTATTCCCGGAGACTTCGAGGGTTGTGTTCCTCGACCGATGTAATGACATCGGAGTTGGGTGGTGATGTTGGTGGGGGGATGGGTTGCTGGAAGGGTGGCGCCCATCAACAGTGTGGCAGGAAAGGCTGCATCAGTTACAGTATGAGACAAGGTACCCATCAGTTTTTTTCACCAACACTTGGGGCATGTCTTGTAACATCGCTTCTAGGTTCTAGGTTGGCAAAAGCGGAGCCATAACATCTTCGACCGTGATGGGCATTGAAAGATGGGACTACGATTTTTTTGAAAATTCAGCACGCACGCGTACACGGAGCAGGGCCTTTGTATTCAGCATGAACTGGACAAACTGCAGTTGTTGAAACCCTTTTTTTGGGCACTGACTTGCCAATGTGCTGCCTATTTGCCTATCTGCCTAATTACACACACTCACACACTCGCAAACCACGTTTTTGCATTCTTTTTATACGTTCCACGTTGGCCGTTGCAATGGTTTTTGAGCCACTGGTGTTTAACGGTGTGTCACCGCGTGTTTTTTAAAACCAAGGTGGCTATTGAAGCGCGCGTTGCCACATCACATGCATGGTGCGAGGCCGCGGGCAGCCGTTGGTTCTCGTAACGTTCGGGCCTTGCACGAGTCAGAGCGGGTGAGGCCGAGAGACCGGTGCGACGGGCAAGTATGTAGAAAGGAAAGTTTTAACACCATCCACTACAGCAGGCGATTTGTGATTTTTTAGGCCCACACGTCATCCAGCCGAGTGATGAGGAGATTCAAGTCTCGGAGAAGGGTGCGGGTGGACTGTGACCAGCTGGGGCAGACTTCTGCAACGCAGAAAGCCACCTAACAAACCCAGGCCGGCCGTCCAAAAGCAATTGAGGCGCCAGACCATAACCAGTTGGAAAACTGAATTGACCAAGCGCAGCGCTCCCAACCTGAGATGCCCCTGAGCGCCGGGGGTGCCGAAGACACTGCAGCTGCCGAAGCACACCATTTGCGCTGGGGCCCTGGAGGACACTGCCACTAGTGCCCTTGTGAAGCGCCGATTGCCGGCCACTTGTGCGTGTCACACCCTGTCCCCAAGGGTTTCGTTCTTACGGCTTGAGCTTTCTAGCAGGGGCACCGGCACCACCGGTTGGGACGCAGATTTGCAACAAACAAGTTGGAGAGGCACAACGCTCACGCCGTGGCACCCATGCCAATAGAAATCATGCGCGTGTTTTACTCGTTGCAGTTTTTGGCTTCATGATGCTTCATTGTCACGTTGCAGCCCCACGGGCAAGACCATGGCGATCGAATTTGATTGCCCCCTAGTGTCGTAAAAACATTGCAAGAGCTAGGACCGCTAGGAAGGTGTACATGGGGTTTCATGGAACGTCTCGGTTCCCCGCAGCTTTTTCAAGGTGCGCAATTTGTCCGTGGTTCTTCACCAAGAATGCCTTAACCAATCTATTTGCGATAGGTTCTCGAGGGTCCAGCCGGCCAAATTCGAGGCGCGCCTTTAACATCGCATTTGCAAAGAAGAGGACAAACGTGATGCATATATTTTAGTCAGGCCAAATTCTTCCGGGTTTCTTGGCAGTATTTGCGCAACCGGCCGACAATGTTGCGGCACGTAAAAAGCATTTGTTACTGAGGCTTTCTGAATTTGAGGCCTGGTCGGTGAGCAATGTTTGCACATTTTCGGTATGTTGGGCAGCGAAAGCTTTTAGGCGTATGCGCGACATGTCCAAAGGGAAGATGGCAAAGCTCGAAAAGAAAGCGCTTGCCATGTTTGCAGATGCTTTGGGTGGGTGGCGCTTGCTTGATTCAATTTTTGCTGTTGGTGTTCCGCCGAGGTGCCTATGAGGCCGACACAGCAAACCGAGCAACCCTACAGGCTCAAATGGAGGTTGCATGTTTGAGTGTTCATGTCGCATTTTTGGCAGGAGTGGCTTGGTCCCCTGCGCAAGGTGCGCCGGACCACACAAATTACGTAAGTTATGATTTTTCATGTTCGGAGGTGTTGCTCGTTGGATTGCAATTTTGTGCCTCAGACTGGAAAGCAACTGGGTGAGCACACTGCAACTGGAGGCGCTCATCGAATGATGGGCTGGGTCTTCCACTGCCGTTTTGGCAGGACGCCCCCGAGAAAGTAAAAGAAGTAGTCGTGCCCCCCCCCGCCTCGAACTAGGAAAAGAAGTAGTAGTCGTGCCCCCTCCCCCTCTCTTCTACGAGGACCTCAAAGAAGGATCCTGCGCTACGAGGGCCTTGAAAAAGGACCCTGTGCTACGAGGGCCTTAAAGAAAGATCCTGTGCTACGAGGGCTTTAAAGAAGGATCCTGTGCTACGAGGGCTACGAGGGCCTTAAAGAAGGATCCTGTGCTACGACGAAGGATCCTGTGCTATGATCGAGGGCCTTAAAAAAGGATCCTGTGCTACGACGGCGTTAAAGAAGGATCCTGTGCTACGAGGGCCTTAAAGAAAGATCCTGTGCTACAACGGCCTTGAAGAAGGACCCTGTGCAACGAGGGCCTTAAAGAAGGATCCTGTGCTACGAAGCTACGCGGAAGTAGCAGTAGTCGTGTTCCCCCCCCCTCGGAGGATCCTGTGCTACGAGGACTTCAAAGAAGGATCTGTGCTACGACGGCCTTGAAGAAGGATCCTGTGCTACGAGGGCCTTAAAGAAGGATCCTGTGCTACGAAGGCCATAAAGAAGGATCCGGTGCTACGAGGAAGTAGTAGTAGTCGTGGCCCGTGTCCTGGAACTGGGAAAAGTAGTAGTAGTCGTGGCCACCCCCTCCCCTCCCTGTGCTACGAGGGCCTTGAAGAAGGATTCTGTGCTACGAGGACCTCAAAAAAGGATCCTGTGCTACGAGGCCTCGTCGAATCCTTTTTACAGGCCCTAAAAGAAGGATCCTGTGCCACGACGGCCGTAAAGAAGGATCCTGTGCTGGGACGCCGTTAAAGAAGGATCCTGTGCTACCAGGGCCTCAAAGAAGGATCCTGTGCCACGAGGGTCTTAAAGAAGGATCCTGTGCTGCGACGGCGTTAAAGAAGGATCCTGTGCTACGAGGGCCGTAAAGAAGGATCCTGTGCTACGAGGGGCTTAAAAAGGATCCTGTGCTACGACGGCCTTAAGGAAGGATTCTGTGCTACGAGGAAATAATAATAGTCGTGTTCCCCCCCTCCCTCGAAGTGGGGAAAGTCGTAGTAGTCGTGGCCACCAGGATCCTGTGCTACGACGGCCTTAAAGAAGGATCCTGTGCTGCGAGGGCCTGAAAGAAGGATCCTGTGCTACGACGGCCTTAAAGAAGGATCCTGTGCTACGACTCCTCGTCGAATCCTTCTTGCAGGCCATAAAGAAGGATCCTGTGCTGCGAGGGCCTTAAAGAAGGATCCTGTGCTACGACGGCGTTCAAGAAGGATCCTGTGCTACGAGGGCCTTAAAGAAGGATTCTGTCGTGTTGCCCCCCCCTCGAAGTGGGAAAAGTAGTAGTAGTCGTGACCAGCCCCCCCCTCCTCAAACCCTGCTTCAAGAAGGATCCTGTGCTACGAGGACCTTCAAGAAGGATGAAGGCTCCTGTGCTACGAGGACCTTAAAGAAAGATCCTGCGCTACCCCGAGAAAGTAGTAGTAGTCGTGGCCTCACCCCCCCCTCCCTCGTCGAATGCTTCTTACAGGCCATAAAGAAGGATCCTGTGCTACGAGGGCCTTAGTGAAGGATCCTGTACTACAACGTCCTCAAAGAAGGATCCTGTGCTACGAGGGCCTTAAAGAAGGACCCTGTCTTCGACGGCCTTAAAGAAGGATCCTGTGCTACGAGGGCCTTAAAAAAGGACCCTGTCTACGACGGCCTTAAAGAAGGATCCTGTGCTACGACGCCTCGTCGAATCCTTCTTACCGGCCAGAAAGAAGGATCCTGCCACAGATTTGTACAGTAGCCGTAGTTATGTAAGATTACTAATGTAATATTGCTTTGCAGAGTTTTTGTTCATCCGCTGGTCCCTTTGAAATGTAGTGTTTTGGAATTAAATTCTATGCATTGACGGGCCTTTGTGGGGCATCATGGTCTTGAGTCTGAGTGACACTGAGTGTATTTCATGTTCATGGCGAACCTGGCCTTGTTACACTGCTCGAACCTGTGTTGCGAGGGCCTTAAAGAAGGATCCTCTTATGCTACGAGGTCCTGAAAGAAGGATCCTGTGCTACGAGGGCCTTAAAGAGGGATCCTATGCTACGAGGAAATAGTAGTGGTCGTGGGCACCCCCCCTTCGAACTGGGAAAAGTAGTAGTAGTAGTAGTAGTAGTAGTAGTAGTAGTAGTCGTAGTAGTAGTAGTAGTAGTAGTAGTAGTAGTCGTAGTAGTCGTAGTAGTCGTAGTAGTCGTAGTAGTCGTAGTAGTCGTCGTCGTGACCACCCCTCCCCACCCACGGCGGGGAGGGAAGTAGTAGTAGTCGTCGTGCGCCCCCCCCTCCCCGGCCCTGGGCGGGAGGTAGAGGTGGGCGTCTACCCCCCCACCGGCTTTGAAAATTAGGACACCCTTCGGGGGCGGCCTCCGTTTTGGATTGTTGACAATGATAATGTGTATTTTATATACGGTATACCCTAGCAATCAAACCACCATTCTTTTAATAGCCCTCCCCGAACCACAATTGTTTTACTAAGGGTTTTACACTACAAAACCAGATCAACCATTTTAGAAATGGTGTTTGACTTCCAGGGTATATAAAATTGTATGAATTGGGTTGGGTTTTTGTGGTGCTAGAATGTTTTTTAATTTTTTTTTTCGTTTTTTGGTGCTCGGGTGGACAAAGCTTTTGCAGGTATGTACTTGAAATACAAGGCCTGCCGTGTGTGGCTGAGATGGGGAATTGGAAGTGACGATCAATGAAATTGGCTGGGCAATCCACACTGAGGTCTGATGGACAACCCGTCGTCAAAGGCATCGATCTTTTGAATGAACCCATTTTTTGTGTGTTTGTGCTAGCATTCAGCGCTTTGCGTTTTCTATTTTTTTCTTTTCAGCAGGCGCTGAATGGCGAAAATATTGATCGTATCCAAGTCGCTTGGTTGATCTCTTTGGAGTCCGCGACGGGCGACTCATGTAGATTCGTTCTTTTGCTCTGGCGCCCAGTTAGAGACTGCGTGGTCTTGCCCCACAGTACCGCTCTGAGATCAGTGTGAGAGGTTCAAATCTTGCCCCCAAAAATCGAGAGTGACTATCCCAGGTTCGAACTGCCACGATCTCAGAGCCAATGACCACAGCAGATGAACACTTAAATCATCTCAAATCCTTTCTAGTTTCTTGTCAATTTGAGGTCCTTCGGATCACCGATGATCTGCATTTGAAGCTTGGCATGACGAACTTTTTCATGAGTCGAACGTCTTTGGCACACCAACTGGCTAAAGTCAATAAGGGATGACCAAATACGCAGCCCTTTCCTTAGTGAATTTGCTTCGAACATCAGGTCTTCCAGGCTGCAGGTTTGTTCACATTGTGGTCCATTGAGGCTCTGGTTCTGATGACATTGTGAGGGAAATTGTTGGTACGTGCTTGCCTCATTTGTCTTGGAAACTCTTGCAGCGCAGTATAGTCAGACACACTTGCACTGGACAGAATGCAACTCCCTGTTTCATGTTGGTATGTGGCATGTTTGGATAGCATGGAGGGTTCGAGCTGAGGGCAAGTTCGAGCTTTATGGCTGCCATGGCCAAGATTGACGAACTCAGGCAAACTTGTATTGAGTCCTGCCCATTGCTGAGCCCCGCACAGCACCTTTGTAAGTGAGAACACCTGCAGGGACGACGTCCAAGTTCAAAGGGATGAGAGGAGGGTGTGCCTTGAATCGTGGCTTAGGGGGCTCGCCGCTTTTGACACTGTTTCGTACGTTTGCACATGTATTCTGACAAGAGTGTGGTCGTCACACTGCTGAGTGATTTGTCGAGCGGTGCTGTCCAGTGATTGTCTTGCTTTCGGCGTATGTTGCGAGGCCGGCAAACATGAAACGTGCAGCCCCAAAATCCGGTGGGGAATCTTGTTTTAATCAACCGACTGAAAATTGTCCACGCTCGCTTTAGAACATCATGCAGCACGATGCAGTGGGAACAACGCATCGAAGCCGACTGACCACTTATCCTGGTCTGGTCGCAATGTGATCTGCTCCATGTCACCTACTGCAAAAGAAATATATATATATATATCTAATGCAACAAGCCTACATATACTACGACAACCGTAAGCCAATGATCTAGATTCATTAAGGGGCTCCGTTCACCAACCAACCATGAAAGTATTACAAAAAAAGGGGGTCAACCAGCATTGGGGTCAAGACGCGCATCGCTCTTTTTTCAGTTGCCGTATGATGAATCGACCGTTATTGCACTCGCAACGTCCACAGTTTGAACCACGTTTTGCACGAGTCGGTTGCAAAGAAGGGCTGGGGTGTGTATTGTAGTGTTGCGACGATGCCAGGAGAAGCGTCAGGTACGTGAGTTTGACTTTAGGTCAGGTTCATTTCATCATTGAGTGTCATCGAACAGAACATCGTAGAAACTGAATGGAGAGCAACCCACACAATTGTTCCGAGCAGGAAACATGATTCATGACTTCTGAGCACAAGAAAGCTCCTTTCCCCCAATTCAGCTAGGAATTTTCTGAACATAGCCAGTGGCATGCTGAACACAGAGTTCAAAAGGACAACTAGTTGCCGTCCGAACTTGCCTTCCGGTTTACTGCACACTACGGATGCTGTTCAAATGAAAACGAAGAAGCTCTTCTCGACCAGCATGAGGTGCTTGAAACACAACTAGGATTCAACCACGCACTCCCGAGGCTTCACATGCGCATTTTAGGCAAGATTGCGTTCACCAAACCATGGACAATGAAACTTGAGCGTTTTCGTCCATTCCTTTGCCAAACTCTGTCTCAAACTGGAGAACTGATCTAATCGGTGCAGGCCCTTCACAATCACCAAAGGCTGTGAAACACACTCAACCCAGATCCTTCCAAGCCATTCACCTCACACAGCTTTGTCGTTTCGCCGGCCTCTCACAAGACCCAGAACATCCAACATTGTCACGTTCTGCCCTCGGGATCCTATTCCGACAATTGCACATAAAGGTTTGATTCTAGATGCACTTCTAGAACCTACACTCCCTGCAATCATGGAAGTGGATGACGTGGCCGCTTTGATGACCATTTTCCTCTACAAACAGGTGGTTTCCACTTTCACTTCCATGATGAATCAAGGGAGTGTATATAGTTGCTTGTCTAGGATCGATTGTGAATATTCGCCATGCTCAAGATCACATGGACCAGGTCCTGAGGACCCTCAACTTTTTTGTTTGGGGTGCCCAGTCGAATTGGTGGGGTCTCGGCTGTCCCAGCCACTGCTCCTCTTCGAGCATCCCCCTTCTCCTGCTCACTTTCCTTCTCGGCCTGGCGCTTGGCCTCCTGGTCTGGATCCTTGGGCTCTTCTACCTTAGATTTTGGTGGCGAGCCTGCAGCTCGGTTCGTGGCTCCAGCCACAGTGCACTCACGACTCAGAGCCTACGTGCATGGTGGAGGACGAGGCCATTGAGCTTTCACTGGAATTCCAAGAGCTTTCTCTTACAGTTCGTGGGAGGCGAAGACGTCTATGTTGGATGGTATAATGCACTTCAAGGAGGAGGCGCCCTTTGTCACCCCTCTTTCAAGAGATTTTGTGGCGGCAGCGCATGGATGGGTTTCAACTCAGGATCAGCCGGAAAGAATTGTCTTCTATTCGGCAGCCGAAGAAGAGAACCTTGACAGATCCTGGAAGTCAAAGAAGGAGGAGAACTACTTCTACAGCCAAAGGAGGCGTATCAGCAAAAGGCTCGTCAGACAGTTGCCTCTCTGGCGGAAGCTGTGTCGAGCATCAGCCTGGGCCTTCCTCAAATCACCAAGAACTGTCCGAGAGGACACTTCTACCATCAGGCTGAGGTCAGCACAGAGAGAGAGAGTGAGCCTTCCTCGCCATCCGCTGAAGAGTTAGTCCTGGCTAGTATAGCTTCGTTCCTGGCTATCGCCCTACACACGGCTACACACGGCTTGACAGCCCAGCTGCAGCCGCACTTCGTATGCTGGGTGAGGAGACACTGACGGAGCATGAAATCCTTGACGACCTCGGTGCCTCGCGCCCGTGCAAGACTTTGGACTTTGCCTTTGACTTTGTCGAGATTTGTGGAGGGTCTGGTGTCCTTTCCAAGGCAGCGTCAAAACGTGGCCTCCGAGTATGTGCACCCATCGAGTTGAGCTCAAGTCCTCACTTTGACATCACCAACCCATCTTTCCTCGATTGGATCATGCAGATGATTGTTGAGAAGCGCTTCCACAGCCTTGGGCTCGAGCCGGGCTTTGATAGAAAAAACCAAAGACCATGCTTGGGAACGTCCTGGGGTTTCCGTTGCCTCGTGATCTGCTGGTTCGCTATGCGACATGGGGCACCCTCACCACTTGAACAGCCTCGTCGCAGCAAGACGGGTTGGGTTGCAGCTTGGAGGTACTTGGCTGCAACGAGTCTGTGGTTGCCTCATGCATGTTGGGGTCACCTCATCGGAAGGAATTTCGGCTCACGCGGGGGCTAGATGCTGAAGCGTTGGAGGTCAGGCGTGCTGGTGGCCATAGTCACCTGAGGACCCAGAGCAAATATTCCAAGCTTTTTTGCCGAGCTTTAGCCCAACCCGCTGATGATGGTCCAAAAATTCAAGGGCGTGAATCCGTCATCTTGAACGACATCCTCGCGAGCTCAACTTGTAGTACCACAGCAGCTAGTTTACCAGCCACATCAATGTCCTGGAAAGTCATGCCTGTGTAGCTCTCCTCAACCACCTGGCATACAACAGTGGCTCACTCCGATTCCTGGCGCTTCTGGACTCTAGAGTTGCAAAAGGTGCTCACGGGAAGGGTCGCTCCCCTGCCCGGACTTTGCAGAGGTCGGTGAGGAAAGCCAGCGCGATCACGATAGCTGGGAATCTTCGCCCGTCGTTTGGTTTTGCTCTACAAGGCTGAACACTGCAGATGCTCAAAAAAGGGAGATGATCTACTTGCAAGAAGCTGGCATAGCAACCCATGCTCAAGATCACCCACCACTCCCGCCACTAGTCACTAGGATGCGCCGGTTCGAGCACAGCTTTGGCCAAATGGCCCAACAGCACAGAGAGCCTTCTTGGCTGGCGAAAGGAGAGTTTGAGATCCTATATAGTTACGTTTTGCATTGGCCACGAAAAACACAGGGGCCATTTCGGATCAAACTTGGGGTGTCATGGTCTGGCACACAGCGAGAACCACAACATTCACCCCCCACATCCGCGGCGCGATCGGAATTTAACAAGGTTCTACTTTTGCTTGTATGCTTCTCATCTAAGGCAAGCAGAAAGCAACCTGAGCAAAGGCAGGATGAAAACAGTCGGATGGCGAGCCGGCATTGTTTACTAAATTGTTTCCCTGGCAGTTGCCTATCAGTCACTTTATGGCCTCAAGCAGGTCCAGGAGCGACTGGATGGAAAGTATCCAAAACCGGTTGAGACGGCACCCGTTGTTGACAACATATGTGTGGATATGTTATGTATATATATATATGTACGTACTTGGACCGGCCAAGCAGCACCTCAAAAAAGAATTGATGTTCAATGTCGAACTCAAGCTTTGTTACTTATTGTTACCTGGCACTTGTTGCAGGAGCCGAAGCAGACAGCAGCGCACCCAGAACTTGTAGAGGAACTTCTACGTCCAGCATGGGCAAACGGTCAGTGGCAGAATAGCCTTGAATGACCTCAAATGGATATTGGAAGTTCCAATTCAAAGCCTCTTTTTGGTCGTAGAATGGAGGAAGGCTTGAACGCCTGTGGCAGGTGACGCATGGAAGGTCAAGGCGACGAAGCTCTGTCGCGGCCTGAAGCTCCGCAGTCTGCTTGAGAGATGACCGGCGGTTTAAGGTAGGCAGCGCGCTCTCAAGCGAGGCAGTCCCGGCAGAGGGTTTTTCTGTATTTTCATCGCATTTACTTGACAGTTCGGATTGAAAATTGAAACGGAGTATTTTTCTTGATCACGAAAGCTAGCACCAGCTGGCTGGCTTTAGGGCTGGAATCCTCAAGAGCGCCGCATCGCGTGAAAACTTCATATGTAGGGGGCCCCTCCTCTCGCAGGTTCAACTCCTCCCTGGGACGTCTCTGGGACGTGGCATGGGGCCGACTGTCATCCGCTTCACCCCCGCCCTGCTAGCTTTCGTCACCAACCCTCGGCCTCAAGTTCTATCTGTTCCTGCTCGATCGCCAGGATCCACGGGAAGACCAGCTGAGACAGAAAGTCCAAGTGAAGCACTGGCCCTTTGACTTTTCGCTTCGCATCGTCGTGGACATCCATCTGTCCCTTCCGTCCGCCAGGTTTGACAGATGGATGTATGGACATTTAGCGGAGGAGCGGAATCTGTCCGTGCCTATGTGCCTTGCAGAGACCAGAGACCGCTGAGAAAGTTGATCGGTGATGACAATGCTACAATTGAAAGTGTGGCAGGTGTGGAGACTTGAAGGATGTAGTGTAGTGTAGACATGATTTTTTCAGACCGAGGTCGAGACAAAATGAGAACCGCCGGAGGCTTCCACCGGTGCGTGGAGCCGACCTGTTGCGCAGAAGTTTGGCACAAGAAAAAGATGTAAAATGAAGATCAGGTGTTAGATCGCCCTTGGATTGCAACTCCGGGTAGTTAGCAGCAGAACTTTTGTCCGCTTGTTTTTTGTACCTCATTGTTTGTTCTCACCGCCAGGATTGGACATGAGACTCTTGGGCCTTGCTGAGTGAGTGTTTGGGAAAGATGTGGGTGCAACTGGGTTTATATATATTCTGCCTTGGTCTGTCAAGCAGATCTTGAGGCAATTTTGGCCTATGGAGTTTGGTGATCAGATTATTTGGACCAGTCTGGCTGCGAAGCAGCTGGGCTAAGATGTGCTCCTGAAGGGAGCATGAGAAAGACCTGCGCGCGGAGTTTTCCTTCAGGACAATTTGCTTCATTGGCAGGTGACATTATTTACCTCAAAATCCCTACAAGGCGCTGCAGCTTTTGTTACAAAAGGCCGCGGCTCTCGCACAGCGGATAGTGACTCCTCAGCTGATAGCCTCAGAGCAGAATTCACGAAGACAAGGAGCAGAATTCTCTTCTTTGTGCTTACAACAAGGACGCTAGTAGAAACAAGAAGCTACTAGGAACAAGTGCATCGCTTCTACGTACTAGTAGTAACAAGGACGCTAGTAGAAACAAGAAGCTACTAGGAACAGCCTTTGTGCTTTCTTTTTGTTTTTGGATGTTTTGGCTCTCAGCGGATTGATAGCTGATGTGCACATCGGTCATGGCGCAAGGTTTAAGGCCCAAGCTGCTGGAAGGTCCATGAGGTGATGAGCTCAAGCTTGCATATCAATACCCTTTCTTCTAACAGAGACGCACGTTAGGAGAATTTCCTAAGCTGGATGGAAATGGATAATTCTATCCAATATAGCTCTTTGCCATGTCGTCAGTGTGGCTCGGCAACCGTTTCTTCTTTGGCGTAATCGCATTTCTGGGGGTCCACGAGTGATTTAAGAAGCCGAGCCTAGGATTGACTTTGTCTCTGAGAGTCTGAAGAAGAACCCGCTTCCGCGGCAAGCCTTCCAAGAAGAGCTTCCCAGTGGCTGGAAGAGAATTGAGTCCCGAACAAAGCCAGGTCACTTGCCTCTTAAAGAACGGTCAGAGAGTTTTATCAAAGCTTTCCTGTGAAGACATGTCAAGCGACGGCCGATGTGCAAGGAACCTACTATTATGCTCACCCCGCGACCAACCGCACTCAGGACATACTTTAAAACTTTAAGGTGTCGATGTATCCTGCTAGCAGCTAGCATTCTCCATTCCTTCGGTTGAACGATGCTCGGTGTATGCTTGTAGAGCTTGCGAGCTATTCAGCTGAATGTTCAAAACTTGTTGCGTCCAGGTTCAACCGCCTTCAGGAACGAAGCAAGTGCCTGCTAATGGAGAGGGGCAGAAGACCTCCAAGGTGACAAGATGGGTTTCCAGCGGAATATCAACATTTTCTTCTTCCTTTCAGCTTTTCATAGGAAAATCGATCATTGGTTGCCGATGCCGATCCCATTTGTGATCGATTCTGGGTGCCAGTTCAGAATTTGCGGCGCATCGGCCCATGAGGCGCGCACTGCAAAAGAGGAGGAGGCCCAGAAGCAAGCTCAATTAGCTGCTGACAAGGAGCAAGAAAGAAAAAGGAAGCATAAGGAGGTTGAGGAGGAAGCTGAAGCTGAGGAGGACTGCGCAGCTTCTGCCACACACTTTCAGGGTTGGCTGATTGGTTTTGGAGAGGAGTTAGTTGAAGAAGAGAAGAGGCGCATCAAAGCAGCAAGAAAGGCAGGAATTGGACACATGAAGTATTTGCCTCAATGACTTGGGCAGTAAAGTTTATTGAACCATTGATTTTTCTGCTGGTTTTCCAGTGCTTTGGCTCATGGTGTGTTCCGCCTCGAGAGAGAGAGAGAGAGGCGAAAGAGCTTGAGCTAAAGAGAAAAGCCCAAGAGGCTGCTCGCCTTGAAAAAGAGAGAAAGGAGAGGGAAGCAAAGCTGGAGAAGGAGCGCCTACAAAGGGAGGCAGAGGAACTGAAGCGAAAGCATTTTGGACGAATTTTTGTGCAGAGTTGTCATTTCCAACTCTTGGATTACAATCCGTGGATCCGTGGTTAACCGACTCAAAAGTCATAAGGCAAGAACTTGAAGCCCTGGCCGAAGAGCGCCGCAAAAAAGAGGCTGAGGCTCGAGCAAAGGAGTGCACCCGCTGTGACGAAGAGATGCCGAGAAAACTACTAGGGGCTCCTAGCATTGCTACTAGGAGCAAGAAGCTACTAGCTGCAAAGGGCATCGCTATTAGGAGCAAGAACGCCTTCATGTTTTTTTCAGTGGGGAGCAGCTTTTAGGAGCATGAAGCCCAAAGGCGCAAGGCTGGAAGCAAATGTGGCAAATGGCACTTCCTCGGAGTATTGTCAACCAAACCGACGAAACCGAATGTGAAATTCCTAAGTTACAAGGGTCCAAGAGAATTTGAAAACTGTGCGAATGGAGCCCGTGCAGGCTATGGTCTTTGAGCAGCATTCCATCCTCCAGAGAAAGCTTGCTGAAGATGCTCGAAAGCGGCAAGCGGAGGAAGAGGAGGAAAGAAGAAAGAAAGCTTTAGAAGAGAAAGCGCAGGAGAAGGCCAGGGCCACGGGGCGTACGGATACACAACCAGCGCAGAAAAGAAAGCAAAAAGCACCAGATGTTGAAAGCACTGTGACAGGAATCTCTTCACGTAGAGTATTGAGCATTCCAAAGGTCAACCTTCTGGAAGAGTCTACGTTGTCCAGCCAACATGTTTTGCGGCAGACGTGTCAGGAGCAGAAGGAGCAGAAAGTTCAGAAAACAAATGAAGCAGAAGAAGCAGAACGTAAGGCAAAAGCAGCAAAGATGGATGCCAAGGCTTGATGCTGTTGACCCTTTTGCTGTTGACCCTCGAGATAGATGCCAGGTTTTTGCATGTTTTTGCTTGACAATGCTTTTCAATCAGCCCCAGTTTTGCTCTTTTGGAGCTTCTTAAGTTCTCCTTGCTTTAGCAAGAATGCATTATATTGGAAAGCCGGTGGACTGCAATGAATCATCGGCCTCCCCTTGCCTGGATCAACCCCCCCTCCATCCTCATGCATTTTCTGCATCGGAATAGGAACTAGCTCGTGCTTGTACCATATATGTAGCTGTTTTAGGTGCTACACTTTTCAGGAGAGGAACAACACAAACTATACAATCAATGAAACGTGCCTCTTTAAGGCTTTTGTTTCTTGTGCCGGAAATTCCTAGCTCAATAAGCCCCCTGGCTTACCTGCTAGCTGCCTTTCGTTTGTTTGAAGTTCACGGGCATGTCACCGGCGCTCGTTGCAGATTTGGAACCAAAGAATTCCAGATATGGTGGACCCTGTGTCGACTGCTTGCTTTGAAGTATTCAAGTTGGGCAAGCATCTTCGCACACATGTGCTGGGCGGTGACAAATCTCGCTGGATCATAGGCGGCCGTGGTGAAAGTTTTGGTTTTTGTGATTGATGTCTTTTCAAGTCTTTCCTCACTTTCTTGGCCTCCTTGTTCCAATTACCCTGAGGTCGTGGGCCAGCAGGTGTTGACATCGCGATTGGCAACCCAAGAATTTCAAGAAAGCATGTAGCTTGGAGGAGGCCATAATCAACCATAGTGACAAGTGTTTCCTGAGAGTTTCTTTACCTTTTGGTGAGACGGTGCCGGGCTTGAGAGATGCATCTGAGGCAGAGATAACGACGCAGGGTCCCTTGATGTTTCTGAACGACCTCGGATCGACCTATGGCACGGACACTGGGACTATTCAGAATCATTTGCCAGCGGTGGTCACTCGTGATTTGTGACTGGCGAGGCGATGAACAAGGAGAAGTTGGAGGCAAAGTCTCCAGTTGAACTTGTGACTGGTGCAAGGTGGGAGTTGTGCACCTTGTAGGGCCTGTTCGGAGTTGCAGAGCGAGCCTTCCAAGCGGTGCAGGTTCCGCTTTGGAGGCCTGCCGGAGCTCTATGTGTACAGGGAGCCTGTGGAGGAAGAAGAGGAGCCTTCGTCACCGCCAGTGGAGGCGGAGGTGTGGCAAGCGTGCATGCTGGTTGAACTGTACCTTCAAGTGGATTGAAGATGTGTTGCACAGATGCCCCCCACCTTGGACGGAGTCAGAAGAGAGAGAGAGAGAGAGAGGTGGTATTGCTTCATAATCGTTTGTATCGAGTTTATATCTCCTTTTACTCCACTCTTTCCTCAAAGTTTGCGCTACCTGTCCATGCTTCTGCTCTTGTTGGTGTATTTGTTGTCCAATTGTTTTCGATCATGTGTCGTTCTTTGATGAATGGCAGTAGTGTGCTAGTATTCTGGTCCTCCATCTTCGCGTGTAGGTCCGTAGAAGTCGCTTATGGGTTGTATATGTACTCCGTTCCAGTATGGACCTTCCTTGATCCAATAGTCTTTGGTATCACCCGTATTTAGTCGTGGTGATGGGATTGCAGTTGTGCTGGTGGGATATTGCTTCTCCATGGCTCTCCTTCCCAATGTTGGGTGTAGTGATGATAGTTGCTCTTTTTGTGTCATGTGCTGGGCTGCTGCTACCGCTGCTCCTGTAAGCGGTCTGAACCATGTCGGGCCTTCTACTGCTCGACGTTGTTTCTTCCTGGTGAGGGACTTGTATGAGTCCACTATTTCAAGTGGTGGTTGTCCGTTTTGTTGTACTAGTACGATGGTCCATCTGTAGTTGACGCAGTTGACGCATTTGCAATCTGGTGTCAAAAGCTCCCGGCGTGATCGATTGTTTATCCTAACTAGATACCCCTCGTTGTTGTACTACCAAATGTTAGTATTGTTAGTTTTCAAAACAGGGGACCGCCAGAGTGCGTATTTTATTTGTTTTTGCTGCCTACTTCCATCTATGCGCTATAAACTTGACACTGTGGCCTGCATTCATGCTATGTGTCTGTGAAAGCTGCCTCAATGTCCTTTGCACTGGAAAACAAACACAAACAGTCTCGATAAAATATAGAGAAACCCAATAACAACCTAGGAAAAGCAAAAAAACCTTGGGAAAACCAAAAACCAAAAAAACAAAAAATAACACAAGAACTCCAAAAAACAAAACAACCAATTCTCAGAGACTCTTGGCTGGACCCCCCCCTTTCCTCAAGACTTCCCCAGAATTGTTTCTTTTTTGATTCTTTTGTTTTTTTGTTTTCCCAATTTTTTTTTGGCTTTTCCTAGGTTGTCATTGGTTTTCTCAAGTTTTTTTTTTGGTTTTCCTATTTAGGTCAATCTGTGTTCTTACTATTTCGTTCAACCTTCAAGTATGTGAGCCTAAGTCTCACCTAAAGGCATATGTTCTTTGCTCTTGCAATGAAAGCGTCTGAGCCCACCACTCCCTTTGTCCTTGTCGAAATCTCCATGTACAAGTCTGTGCATTAACTTCTGATTGGTATCAATGTGGTTGCCAATTGCATGTCCAATCAGCTTGACATGAAAGTGTAATGATACCCTCCAATTTACATGAAATTGTTCGAATCTGTGTAAGCTGTAGTTAATTCAATGCTTGTTGCTTTTGCTTCGGCTTTGTAATTTCGAAGCCTCCTCGACTTGTGCATCTTGTACCTCAAGCGTTTTACATTTTATTCTGGCGAACTTCTATATAATTTTAATTCCAATTCCTTTCTAATTCAATTCTCATCTAATTTTAAATATATAGGTTATAGTTATAGTTCAATACAAGTTTAGTTCGGTTTTGATTCAGTTCTATCTTAGCTCTAGCTCAAATCCAATTTAATTATACCTAATTCTATTCTAGCTCTAGTCTATTTAGTTTAATATTTTGCCCTGGGAGTGCTGGGAACAAGACTAAAACTCTTTTTTGAAGTAAATAGTTAGATTTTGTTTATTTACAGTAATCACTGGAAATAATATAGACATATTAAACTTGTTTAATGTAACACTCTGCAGTCAAGGAAAGAGTCACACACACTCCATGTGAAACCACATGTTGAGCATAGCAAGTACCCTGCATACCGCAGGCCGTCAACGCTCAAAGAAAAGAGAGCGAAGTGTTAGATGGTAGCGGAGCTGTGATCCCGATCTCTGCGGACCTCGGGTGAGCTCCAGGGGACAGGACCCAAATCCCCAAGGGTTCAAGCGAGCCATGGTTGGCGAGAAGCTGGCAGCTTTGCAGCAGCGCAGCTGAGCCTAGCGGCCGAGCAGCTGGCAGCAGCTGCAATCAGTGCAAGTGGCTACCTGACGGTGGAGGCCACTGGAAGAAGAGAAGAGGGGGCTGAAGCCCCATGGCTGCAATGGAGCAGGTTGTCACCGAGCTCCACGGATTCACAAAGGAGTTTGTGCCCAGACTCTCCAGAAGCTTGGAGAGAAAGAAAGAGAAAGGGACGGCAGCAAGGCTGATCCCAGGACCCTGTTGAAGCCTGATGTTTGGTCTCCAGGGACTGTCGATGAGGAGCAGTCCACATGGCCTGAATGGTCATTCCTCTTCAAGAGATACTTGGCCTTCATTGAGGAGGAGTTCATTAACGACCTGGAGCACGTGGAGAAGGACTTGGCGCAAGACCTCAAGCTGAGCGACTACAAGGAGGAAGTTCAGAAGAGAGCAAAGAAGCCGTATGCCTACTTGGTTAGCTTCGTGAAGGGGCGACCGCTTTGGATCGTCCGGAGTGTCACGGACACTGATGGCTTTCGAGCCTGGCAAGGGCTTTGTCGGGAGTTCCAGCCCAAGACAAGGCAAAGAGAGCTTGGAATCATCCAGGCATTGGTGGCCTTTCCGCAGTTCGAGAAGGGCAGGATCCTTGAAGGGATCATGAAGTATGAGAAGCTGGTCGGCGAGTATGAGCGACTGGCAGGAAGCTCCCTGGATGAGAACTTGAAGATAGCAACGGTCAAGCGTTGCTGTCCGGGGCAGCTGCGACAGCATTTGCAGCTGCATGTGAAGCCTGGCACTCGGTATGCGCAGGTGACGGTGAGAGAGTCGATGATGGCCTACGAGCAATCTACGGCTGCCTGGTCAAGCACCAAGATCCTCGAGCGCAACCAGATTGTGGCAATGGAGGTGGATCGCATCAAAGGTGACCACAAAGGAAAAGGCAAAGACAAGGGCAAAGGCAAGAAAGGCTCACCTAAAAGCAAGGGTGACAAAGGAAAGGGCAAAGGCAAAGGCAAGAGCTCTTCTGAGAAGGGCAAAGGAAAAGGTGGCGGCAAGAGCCAAGACAAAGGCAAAGGCAAGTCCAAGGGACCTTGCTTTGTTTGTGGTAAACAAGGCCACAGAGCAGCTGAGTAGTGGCAACGTGGTCAACAAGTTCAGCAAGTTGAAGGGCATGATCAGGGAGATCATGGAGGAAATGGTGGAGGACATCCTTCCACGAGGACTTCATCGCCTTCAGCAGGCACAGCACCGAGCAGCAACACTTCTTACAGAAGCGCTGGCACGGTGAGAAGAGTGTGGGAGATCAAGACACCTCCCATGGTTGAGACCTGTGAGATCTTTGATCTTGCAGAAGAAGGCGAGATTGACATTGAGGAGAGCTTCACTGAAGGCTTTCAGATGGTGGTGACCGAGGAGGACATGGTTGAGCACTTTGACCTCACCAAGACTGACATGGACTGCTGGACCATGGAGGATGACTTCACCCAGGAGGTCGACCTCATCGAATACAAGATGGACTACAACGACCTCTTCGAGAACGTGGACTTCATCACCCTCAAGACCTCCAAGGTTGAGACCTTTGAGACTCAAACTTTGAGATCCAGGCCATATGCGAGTTGGACCTGAACTACAACGCTGTACTCGATGTGGGTGCAGATGTGAGCGTGGTGCCCATGAACATGTGCAGCTTGGGCAAGAGGACCCAAGGAGGAGCACTTCTTCGAGATGCTCAAGGTAGAATGATCCCTGTTGAAGGGAAAGTGGCAATGACTTTGCATTGCGTAGCAGCTGATGGACGACCTGTCAAGCTGAAGGAAATCTTTGTGGTGGCCTACGTGAAGCAACCACTAGTGGCTATGGGCAAGTGGATGAAGAAAGGCTGGATGATCCAGAATGTCAAGGACAAGTTCTACTTGCAGAAGGGTGACTACTACCTCCCTTTGGAGTGGCAGCGCAACACCCTCTCTCTGAGCTTTGGTTTGGAGGAAGAGAAGGTCAGCTATGTCATGGACGTGTCTGACGAGCTCAAGGCCATGGCTGAAGAACCTGGCTGGCATGAGTTGAGTGATGGCACACCTGTGTTGGTGGTCAAGAACGCGTTCACTTTCCAGGATATCTCAAGAAGGTATGATCCTCATGAGTTTCCTTGCAGGACAACACTGGTGAAGCTGGAGAGTGGCGAGTACGACTGTGTGGAGAGCGCGCAGTTCTGGGTAGACAGAAAGATGTCAGAGTTGGATGGCATCTCTCCACGCACAACCCTGACTTTGGTGCATGCGAGATTCAGGAGCTCTATGGACAGCAGATCCCTCCTGAACTTCTACAAGATGATCTTCATGCACAACTTGGAGGACCTCCTGAACCACGTCTTCTACCTGGAGAAGCTGAGCCTGTTCCTGAAGAGATGCAGGCTGATGAACCTCAAGGAGGACCGCATGAACCAGAGCAACTGGTCTACGATGAGGTTGGAGACGACTTCGTGATGGTGAATGGCTTGAAGCTGACAACTGCAAGCTCAAGAAAAGTGATGAAAGATGCTTGCGAGTTCCTTGGAATCCCTTTGAGTGGGAGCAAGGCTGTGGTCTTTAGAAGGCTACAGACGGCAGTGAGAGAAACAGCAGTAAAAGCAGCACTTGATGCAGCTCGCAATGAGAAAAGGGCTATGGAGCATCGATCTCAACAAGCTGAAGTACCTCTAGCCCCAACAGATGAGGAGAAGCAAAGACATTTGCTCACACACCTTCCTTTTGCAGATTGGTGTGAACACTGCCAAGCAACAAGGTCAAAAGACAATGAACGTCATGAACGACGAGAACAAGTTTGTCCCACAGTGGCTTTGGACTACATGACAACGAACACCACAATTCGCAAAGAAAGTCCAGAAGTCAAGCATTTGGTAGCTGTGGACAATT